CCTGTAGTTCCTCTCGATAGTGGTTGGTTCATGATCCACATTTAGCTGAAAAGTGACAAATGACTCCGATCCCGTCTTAAATTTCGTCTGGCTCTGCCTTACTCTCGAATGTCTAAAATTGAGGTATGGTTAGTCGTTTTGCTACTTCATCTGGTTTTGCCCCACTTTCCACAGCCAAAACCACCGCCATTCAAACAAATCAGTTACCTCATCAGCTGACTACGCTGAAAAGTTTGAATTGTTGGATTTGATAATCTTTTCATTGGTCTTTGCTCATCTCTTGTTAATTTTTGTTATGTTCAGGTGTGCCAGTAATTCCGCTGGATGATCACGGGAAGCCGGTGGTGCCGTACGATGCATCCGGCCAGCCGCTCATCCATCTTGCCAGCGATGGTATTTGCTCCTGTGCTCTCGTTGTTTCCGTTAAAGCTGCTTGTTTCAGCTTATGTTTAGCTTTTCAGTTCCCGCCTAGCACTGGGCACATCCAGGATGCCGGCTACCGCGACACACTCAACGGACTTCACTCACTCAGTGCTGCCGTTCTTCGCTCGCATGTTGTCTTGTTCTTCCTTTACAGTATTTATTTTCCGTTCTAAGAGCGTTTGCTCAAGCTGAAGACGGCAGTGATGCAAGCTCAAACTGGCATTAGCACGATTTGTAGGCAATGCTTGTCTGTGTGTTAGAACGTGGATTCATTCGAGCGGAACAGAGCAGCAGCTGTGTATTTTGCGCGTGCCCGATGGACTGAGGGTGAGGCAGAAAGCTATCTAACGGTGCCTTTCTGGAAGGTTGGATAAGCGGTAAAAACTTCACGCAAGCACTGGCTCTCTGCACATCATTTGTGTTAGCTTGGCTCTTTTGTAGGTATGACACCACTAACAGAGGAAGAATATCAGTACTCTGTGCAGTGGAACGATTATTACAATCGCCTATACAGCGCTGCTGCTAGTCAGGTAGCCGCATTTTCTCAATTCTTACTACTAATCAGATAGCTTTTGTCCCCGTTGTTATCCCGATCAGGTAACTTTTACTTTACCATTTTGCTGATCAAATATGACTTTCAACTGCTTATTTGCAGACTGCGAGAAAGAAAGACTTACAGACATACTGCCATTAGAATACTACGCCTCTGTTGCGAATAGTGAATTTGAATTGCTCAGTTTCTGAGTTAAGATTTCCTAAACTGTTAATTGAAAGAGCTGTGCTAAAACAGCAGCCCACAGAGGAACTGATTGCACATATCAGCTGTATGAACAAACTAATGACTGTCCATTGTGTCTGCTGGTTTTTTGGTTTCCAACGTTGCTGTATTTTACTGGGAACGAGTTGTACTTCAGAAAGCCAGAAGCGCGAAGCACGTAGCGGCGCCATCGACAGCCGAAGAAGCAGCACATGAACAAAAAGCGAGTGACCTAAAACTTCTGAAAAAGGTTACAGCTACCTTTTGGTCTTTAGACATTTAGCGAATCCACTTGAGAAAGTAAAATTTGGTGGGCAGGACATATTTGTCATTTTATTACAGTAATGAATGTCGTGTTAGTAAGTAAGAAAAGGTAAGAAACCATAACACCCCGTAAATCTATTAAAAACGAAAGCACTTGAAAGCAGCTTAAGTACATATTAGCAGCAGCCACTTGCAGGGTATTTTTTGTTTACGTTGTCTAGAAACAAGCTGGTG